GACGTAAGAAGCTGAGACGGGGAAGAGGGAGGTGTGGTCCCAGGAGCGGGAAGACAGTGGGTGAGCCTGGACCAGACTCAGGGCAGAGCGGAGCTAGAGGTGGCCAGAGGAGCAAGCGGGGATCGTGGGCCGAGGGGACGCACCGCTGCAGGCTCCGCGGGGCTCAGCCCCCTCCTGCCCCTTCCCCTGTTCTCTGTTTCCCTCTCCTAATGCCTCCCTCCTTTCCTTCCCTCTCCCACAGGGTGGGTGATAGAGGCAGAGCCGCCTTAAAGGAAAACCGTAAGTAAGGTGACAAGCTCCCAGACACAGGTGCCCTTGGCCCACGTTTCTCTCCCCACCCCGAGATGGCCCTTACTCTTTCCCACCCCCTCTAAAGGTTGTGTGGACCCCAAAACTGACCTACATCATGAATTGTGCCCGACGACACTTTTTCTCTAACTTCCCTACCCCAAATCAGGGATTCCGCGAATCCCTTTCCCCAAGCGGGCGTCTCTTTCAGGCGGCAACTCCGGGCGCTGTGTTTCCTGGGCAGGGCCTGTGAGCTGAGACCCGGCTGCCGTCTTTGCAAGGCGGCCGCCCAGTGTGCCCCCTGGGAAAGTCGCCTTGGGTGCGGGCTTTAGAGCCGGTCTTACTTCCAAGCCTGACGCTGCGTCCGACCTCCCGGAGGCCCCTGCTGATACCCCCCTCGTCGGAAACCTCCAGGCTCGACCAGGGGTCTGACTTACAGATACATTTGCAAAGCTGGGTCTTCCTGGAAACCAAAGCCTATTCTGCAGAAACAAACCCCAGAGCCTCCCATTTAAAACAACCTTTAAAACGTTCTTTCCTAATTTATTTATATGAGAGTTACAGAAATTACATCCATATTTTATAAATAAGGAGACTGCATTTTAAAAACCCATCGCCCACTGTGAGAGGGGAGGACTAAAGATGGGCAGACGACCCTTTGTAAACAAGGTCGGATACAACCTGCTGATAACACACAGAAGCGACGTGATGGGAGCACCCGAGACCCCGTTCAGGCTGGTCCGTGCCTTATGGCTCAATGCCACTAGGACTCTCTGGGGAGAATTAAAATTCTTTCCCCAGGGACCCCGACAGCTTTTCATCAGCAATCCAGGGAGACTCCGAATTACTGTCGAGGGAACCATGTAGGTTTGGCATTGTCTTTGTGCAGGTCACCGTCCAGTATAAATTAATGT